TCGATGTCGCGCGCCACCCTCCCGGAAATCTCTCGCGATTCGCAAACCCCTCTCCCTGCCGCCCACCTCCCTCAAACGTGTCACGAATGTTGATGGATATTTTTTTCGGCAATGATGAATATTAAACGTACATTATCGGCTCTTTATTAAATCTCGCGCAAAAAATATCGTTTTATTTTATACATTACACGTTCTTCATTACGTGTTATTCTTTGCGCGCATGAGAAGATCTACATTATAAAAATCGTATTAAATATTGTTTGTATATATACCATTGTATGTAACGATGTCTTTTATGAGAAGTTTATCCAATAAAAAATGTACAAATAAAAATATCTAATTTATGATTGTTCTAAATAAAAATTCCCTTTGAATGATTTATTAAGATTATAAAGATTTATGAAGATTTTAATTCAATTTTTTTCCTTGCATTATAAATCCGATATTAATTTAGAAAAAAAATAGTAATTCGGTATCCTCGTATGAAATAACTGTAATGTTCAACTATAATTAGCTAATGAGAGACATATATTTTATTAATTGTCTATTAATTATATCGTCATATCTCATATCAAAGACCACATAAATCTAATAATCTTAAATAATCTTTATTAAAAATAATTCTGAGAGAAACTATTACTTTATTCTTTATGATGCATCGGGCGCAAATTCCAGCAATACAATATATTGTATATGAGTAAAAAAAGAGAGATGAAAATCCATGGATATTTCCATTATCGATCGTTACAATAGTCATTAGTTGTAAAAGATCGACAAATTGCCAACTATAGATAATATATTCCACCCCGCGTGGCGGAAGGTACGATTTGATAAGCGACGAAAGATGCGTTCCGGCATACGTGATACGATTTCCTATTGGCGTAAAACACAAATCGCGCGTACGCAAGTATTATTTTAGTATGAATATTTTATGCAAACCTCACACACGTGTATATACGTACGCACAATCGGCTTTACAACCGCGTATTTTACGAAAAGCAACCAGGGAAATTGCCCTTTTATGCGCTCTCGTATAAATTACTATTTTTTTTTTTATTCGCGACACACCTTTCACATCGCGCATACAGCCTGACGATATTTTGCAAGAGAGACACGTATACGCGAAGTGATCCGATTGTAATGGATCGCGAGCGTAACTTTTCGAGAGACAGACAGACAAGCGAAAAATGCACTTTCAGCTTTTTCAAAAAGAGGAAAAATTCATCATCTGCGCGCTTCCAGGAAATATTTTCCGTGAGCCGCGAAATATGCGGCACACGCGCGATTCGTTATCGGGGAGACTTTTGTACGGACGGCTACCTGCCTTGCCTGGCTTCTGTGCCGAATACCGTGGGATTGATAACGGGGAAAATCGGGTCACCCATATATATTTTTTTTTTTTCAGAGGAACATTTTACGCACCGGCTTCAACCCTTTTATTCCGCTCGCGCGCGCTGATTGCGAAAGCGGAGCCCAAGCCGATCGCGAACCGCATGTCGCAGACATTTCATGCGTGACGTTTTTAAAGTTTGTTCTTCCACGATGTATTTTGCGCGGATCAAAACGAACGGCATTTCAGAGAGAAAGCCGTTATATACGGCGGCTATTGAATAATTTCGTGCTTCTAAGGGAGAGAAAAGCATTTGGTCGATTTGGGGAGCTCTCGTGCGGAAAACGCGATCCGACGTGGCGGCCAAGAGAATTAAGAAGATCGATTCCGACGCATTTTCGCGATTCTTGCACCGCCGTTACCGCTCGCATCTCTATCTCGCGAAGTGCATATCGCACGACTTGACGGACCGAACTCGATCTTGCAACATCACTGTAACGTTTCGCGCGGTTTTACGACTTGCGTTTCGCACGCGTTTCCTCGCTGTACCTTCAATTTTTCCAATCATATTCGAATTGTTTTTATTTCCCATATAATGTTTTTCTACTGTGTTGTGTTTATATCGCTATGTCATAACGGATATTCGGTTTTTGAATTCACTCAGATGTAGCGTGCTCGTAAAATAACATGAGTTGTCGAGTTTATAATGATAGTACGTTTTAATATAAAAATATGTCTCGAGGGCAAACAAAATACTTTTTTTATTACAAAATGGAATTAAAATTGATATAACAATAGCTTTAAAAAAAAAAAAAAAAAAAAAAAAAAAAAAAAAAAAAAAAAA